GTTCAACAGGCAAGTGATCTCTGACCTCGCTTAAATCAATTTGCGATCAGCAAGTAGAACTGAAATATTCATTGGAGGGTTTGTGATCCACCCCACACAACAGCTTGAGGTTCACGCTGTTGGGAGGAGAGTTGAGAGATGAGAAGGTTTTGCCAGTTAGAGGAAGAATTTGTATCGAAAGTTTCCACTAAGGCAGCATTTGTACCACTAAGACAGCATTTTCTCTTTCTATGTGCAGGCAAAGGGATTGTAGTGACCTGTTATCTCCTCATCTTACAATTGGTGCGTAGCTTCCTAACTGAATCAAAAGTGCAGCCACCCGGCCCACACAGTACATGAGGACTACAAGACACTTAGCTCCAGAGCTGCCAAGTCCTTGGGGCAACAGGTGTGTTGGAGCTGGGACGAGGAGTGCAAGGGACTGAGCATCAAACTGTGCACAAAGCAGCAGTCAGCAGCTAGAGAATCCTTGTGGGCTCTGCTGGTGGGCACCAGCTCTTGGATGATTCTGCTAAGAGACCAAACAAAGGTTTTTGTTGCTTTGCTCTGCATGTTTCATGTAGAGGCATGCAGAATGCCATCCAGTGAATTAAAATAGGCTGTTGAGAAGCATCATTTAAAAATGGTCCAATCCTACATGTGCTGACTTTAGAGGTGTACATCAATATAAAAAACTTAAAAATCTGCAGAAAAACTGGTTCATATAATGCCATCATGTTGTTAGCAGAGAAGGTTGCTGGACTCAGGCTGTTATTGGCACTATCTGGCTTTACCACTTCCACATGATGGAGTCTCCACAGGCCCCAAACATATTCTATTCCTCACAAAATATTTCCCAAATGTTTAATCAGAATTGCCCTAAACTGCTGCTCAGCCTATACAAATGGTCACTTCTCTCTCAGAAACAAGCAAAAACAAAACCTGAGTACTCACGCTCTGACTTTAGTACTTGGAAGACTTGCTTGAAGGCAACTAAAGCTGCTTACCATTATACACCCATGCATGGCTTATTTATCTGTGTAATGAAGGAATGCATTAAAGGCCAGCGTAATACCTGAACATGATTTATGATTACTTATTAAAATTGTATTAAAAACCTGCACATATTTTTCCAGATCAGGTGATTTTGTATGCATCTTGCATCCTGTCAGAGCGCAAGCAGTGTGTTTCGGGAAAGAGAATTTCAAACAGTCAAGACACCAAGGTAAACAAACAAGCTATATTCAGAATTCAGAGGCTGCCAAGGTTAAACAGCAGCTGTCTCAACATTTCCACCATTTCCACTGGAGACAATCCCTGTTAAACCCTACTTGGAGCACATGCATCCTTTGGCTGGAACTGCATCTTAGGCAAAACCGTCTATGCACCATTCCAGGGAGCTCAGCATAGTGGATATGGGAACAGGCACCAGGACCTGGTGATTCCAGAAGGCTGTGGAGCAGCTGCCTCTGTGTGCTCGCTGGGTCAGCTGCCCCAGCACAAGTGCTCTTGCTGGCACTCCTACAAACGCTTCTCCCAGGCTAGCTCCCCTGGCACCTCCTGGCTCTGTGTGCCAGCTTCTACAAACCTGGGCCTTTGGGATGAATTCTCTGCGTTTGATGTGCTGGCAATCTGCGTGCTTACCTCTAACTATGGCTTCCACAGGGCATCATGGAACCTTTGTATCACGGTGTCTAAATCTGGCTGTCAGAATATTTCCACTCCAGGATCCTAAAGGACATAAGCCTGGATTATTTTGAATATTAGTCTTCATCTTTTAAGAAAAAAAATCTCAAACAAACCTAGAGCTTTAATTTATGACTGAGGGCTAAAGAACGAATGAGCATGTATAATAAAGCATGTAGCATCCAGTCACATCATGCTAAGCAGTATACAAGCAGCCTACCCCAAAAATTCACAGCTTGAGGAGTTTCCTTCTATCTTACAAAACTTGTCCTTCAACACAGATTGGTTTTTCTTCTTTAAGTCCTTTCAGTTCTTAGCAATGTAAAGCACTCCCTTAGCTGATGTGAGAAATTGCATTAGTTGTGGATGTAGGTGTCATACATAATTGTTTCATTTTATAAAGTTGATTATTCGAACTACACAAAGACACTTTTCTTTCCTGATTATGCTTTGCTTTTAGCATGGAACGGAAATTCTGGCAAGTTTTAAATCTCACCTCTTGCCTCTTGTTTTAACCATATTCCCATCCTAAGCTCATGAAGATTGAGTATGGAAAACTTAAACCTAGGTAAATTCTGATAGTAGTATTCATTGCTACATGACTAAATTCTGGAATGAGCTGCAGCAAACATTGCCAAAAATCTCTGAAACCCAACACAAGTCTCACTCCTATATTTAACTGCTCTGGGAGCACGCAGCTAAAATAAGCGGCCGTGGCAAAGTGCAAAGGCAGATCTGTCAGCAGAAGGAGCAGATTGCCAGAAGTGCTTAAGCATCTCGATCAAAGCTTTTGTCTTATTTTCCGTTAAGGTGGTGCTATTTTCATTTAGGTTCAAAATAACACATCAGGAACCACACTGGCACGAACAAGAACTGAACCAAGTTTTGCTGACTTTTCGTTACAACTGAACAGACTGCTGCTTTCCATTAACACGAAGGAATAGTGACATCAGGTGGACTATCACATTCATCACAAGAACATCTCAAAGTCTCTGACAACTTCCAAAGGAGAAAAGGAAATTTCTGCTGCCAGCCCTTGGTATCTCCTTAGGACACAGACTGGAATAATCCCTATGACAACGGCTTTGTTTTCTGATAGAACAACTCTGACTTGCCTTTAAATGATCAAGAATCATGGTAATACATTGAGTGCTGACAGGAACTACTGTGCGCATTCACAAAGGGAACTGAACCCCCCAGCAGTAACTAAACTAAATGCAAATTCAGCAATAAAAACCCCAGAAGGTTTAAATCTAGTTTTTCATTTTCCTTGTCTCCCTTCGTCCCTTCAGTAACTGACTGGGGGGAAAACATGAAACTCCCTTAGCTCAAGTAAGTCTTTCTAAACAGGAGGATTAGGGTGACAGGGGTTAATGTCTGTAAGAAGCTTATTTGGTTTCTCATTGTGAAAGCCTTCCTTCTGAAAGAACAACACATCGGCTGTTTTGAAGGACAAAACTTTTCTTCTCTGCTGAAACAGAATCGCTTCAGCTGGCTATGCTTTTATTTTCCTCCCTAAATACTTTAAAAGTATTCTTTCTTTTTCATCTTCTACTAGCTTACCACATGTGGCAAGCACACAACCATCACAACTATTTCAGATATCAACAACCCTTTTAAATCTGTATTGCTATCCATAAATTACTGTACGCACTGCTACTGCTTGGTACTTCCTATCACACATTCTCTGTACAAAGCTGTATGCATATGTCTATAACATTCACATCTCAGAAGCAAACACTCTCCTCCCCAGGTAGACTCGAGGAATGTTATATTTCAACTCTTCCAATTCAAAATTCATCAGAAGCTGCATGCAAACCATTAAGAAGTTATGACTCAAATCCTGGAGCACCTTCTCTGCTGTATAAAATAAGGAGCTTTCTCTTTAAACTGTGGCTTAATCCGCAGATGGAGACTTTCAGGAGATGCAGGTTACATAGCAGCCTTTTCTCTACTGTGAATTAAGTACCTTTTATCACATTACTTATCCGGTGTCACTGAGCAGATCTTGCCTTCACTGGCCGTACACCATCCGAGCCTCTTCTGGCTCCCAACTGTTGACATATTAAAGGGACGCCGTAAATTTGAGAACCTAAAATGAGAGCTAACTTGGGTTTCAAGTACACACACAGCTTAGGCACCCTTTGGAGAGCTGTTACTATGTGTTACCAGCTAGCAAACAATGGACTCGGATTTATGACTTGTTTGTCTAGCACCCATACCTAAACATCTTTCCAGACAAGACTTGCTGAAAGATGCTTGAAATCCAATACAGACCAGTAACAGACCATAGGGGGACAAAGAAGACAGACATCTCCAATAACAAGCAGATTGACAGATAAGACAGCAATCCGTCTGACATTACTGAGAGCTAGTATGAAAGAAAACATTAGGGAGGAAGGAAGAGAGTTGATCAAAACAGCAGAGTTTAAAACAGGTTTTTATTACAACTCCCTCTCTGCTGCCAACAGGAATCTTATTATCAAAGCATGTGCAAGAAAGGTTTGATCATTTTTACCTGTGTCAGAAAAATCACAACTCAGAACCCATCTCATCCAGTCATGGAACAGACTGGCTGTTACATGTTATGGCTAATTAAAGTTCTTCCATTTCCATAGATCTGGCCCAAGAGTCACTAGATTTGAGCTTATCTCAATTTCCCCACCACTACTGGCAGGCGCAGATAGAAGTAAAATATGTTAAAAAAATCAACACACCCAAACCATTCTTGTTGCAGTGATAATTCAGGCTAGCTGTGCAATTGTATTCTCATTTACATTTTTTTTTTTAATGCTTCATACCTTTCCTATACTGAACTACTGTCACGAGATAAACTGCTCCTTCACTTTTTGGCAACTTTATGGATTTCTCATGACCGTTCCTCGTAATAAAAACTATGACAAAGCTCCTCAAGGAGGATGCAGGAGAGCTTAGTGTGACCCAACTACACGATAAAAGACAGTTCTGCAGGATGGCTGAGCTGATAGCAATGCCTATGGCAGGCTCAGAATTTTACTACATCAAAGCTGACCTTCCACGTTTTCATTTTTTCCCCCTTGCCTTCTATGGCACACCACAAGTTCAGTCAACAGAATTAAAACCAGAAGTTTTAACACACCATCAGCACGTAATGTTCCAGTATAACGCTTATGTTCTATCTGGGTTTACAGCAGAGATGAATTTCATTTTAACATTTACTTAAATAATGATGGAACAAAAACATTTGCATAGTTTTTTCACAGTTGATACTGGGTGTATATCTTGCTCCAGTTATCAGAGGTGAGGTGATTCATGGTATATATCTGGAGTGAGATTAAGACACAAAGAGAAGTCAATTGTTGTCCAACCAGTTTATTACCTGCGAAAACTCAGGCAGACTCTGAGACAAAAAAATCTTTATGTACAGTATCTCTCAGTGTATTACTCAGATTATGCAAACTGCATTTAATCCACTGATACAAGCATGAAATACAGTACAATACAATATTCATTACCATTTAAAAGAAGTCTCAAATCTTTCTGATTGTGGGCTGCGTGTTCAATCAATTTACAACAAAGCGTTTTTGTGTACATAACAGAAATAGTTGGAATTCCCTTATTGACAGCATCACAAAACTCTTAAACCTCCCCAAAATACTGTTATATGGAATAAACTGTCATCATAATGAAAGTCTTCAATAAATCGTTGTGCCAAAAAGATTAAGACAGGAAAAATCCATTTCAGGTAAATAAATGAAAACAATAAACAGTAGGTAAGGTATTGTACCTACAAGTCTAGCAAACCAGAACAAAATCTCTCTTGATGGACATTTTTCTTTATTAGCAGTCTTAGGTGCAGAACAATTAATATTCTCAGTGGATACAACTGAAGTTAGTCGCCTGGTCTTTACCTTACAAGAAGTTGCAAGGAGAAAACACTCAGAGATGAGAAGAACTTGTGGAACTCATATGACAGTGTTTGCACAGAAGCTTAACTGCAGTCACTGATCTTCTAGATAATTATATATGAAATATCAATTCAGAAATGTGATTTAGAGGCATGGCTGTAGCTAAAACATTACTTTCCATATTCATGTGATCACAGTTCATAATGTTTGCTTATATGGGGTACATTTTCCTCCCCAGGCAAATACTAATTGCACTGCTTAATGCACTATGCTTATTCTGTCAGCATATTTGCTCCTTCCCCACCAGTGGCATCCTCAGAAATATGGAGATCCTCCAGCATTTCAGCCAGACTGATCCGAGGGGCCCCATCATCATCTGTGTCACTCTCCACTGGAATGTCTGCATCTAAAAAAATCAATTAAAAAAACATCAACCAAAAAAAAAACCCGAACAGCTAAGCAAAAGAAACGAAAACCAGAGCAACCTGAACAACCCCAAGTGACTGAAAACATGCAACAAGCAAACAAACTCCCCCATAACATCCAACTCCAAAGAATAACGCTTGCCTTCTTGGAAGATGCCAAGTTAATCATCATGTTTTTTACCCAGTACAGGTTTTGAGAGTCCAGGAAAAAGGCTTTTATCTTATGTTAAAGGTAAGCAAGAACATGAGCATCACTCAGTGCAAGTGAGCAATACCTCATGCTGTTACATTACAGCATTACTCCAAGAATGAGCAGTTCAAAGATCCAAACACAGGGCTTCAGCAAGAATATTTTTGCTCAAATAGCTATGATCAAATTACATGCAATTCAATCGTAAAAGAGGCCTTACTTCTGTAAATGTTGACGTTTTTCCTTATGGCTTCATCTTCTTCCAGATCTTCAAGGAAGTCCTGGTATTGTCTGTAAACGAGGTTTAATCTACTTACTCACTTTCCCTTTGCATTTATGCAAATTTATAAAAAGAAATCAAAAGAAGAAAGCTCCAAGAAAGGACTGCAGTCCTTCAGTTGTGCCTTCTGATAACATTCTTACATTGTCAACTCATTCTTTCTGCCTTTTTTTCATTTTATTTTGATTACTGTTAGCACCTACTCGTTTCCAAAATATATGTAAACTGCCTGTCCTCATTTAACTCTAATTGCCTCCTTTTTCCTACTCAGCTAGACATTATTTGTTATCTGCTGCTGTTTCAGCTTTGCCATGGAACAATGACAAACATGTTTTCACAAAAGCAACCCTTAGCTAAAAAAACCAGCAGCCATAAGGTACAATAGCTCTGACATTCATCATTTGCCTCATGTAAATGAGTAAATCTGTTTGCAGGGTTATCTTTAAGATTCAGGATTTAGTTCATTCCTTGACCCCCCACCAGCCACCTCAGTATCCACCTTCCCTGAAACCTAGCAGTCAAGATAGAGTATTCTAAAAGCACAAGTAAGGTGCATAGATATGTTTAAAGCACTTCTTGCACTAGGAAAGATGCAAAGACTGTATTGTTTAGAGCCTATCCTATTTTATCAGCCATCATCACACCCCTACAGAACCAGCAGCATTTGCTTGTGCCCCTGTAACAGTAGTAGGGCATTACACTGGGGGTTTTGTCCTTAGCAGAGAGTGGTAAATGGTATTTTCAGACTTAGCATGCTATCCTAGGTAGAAAGGACTTCAAAACTTCATGGCTGATACCTTTCATCATCTGTATCCATGCCTTCTCTGTCTCTTTCCAGCTCTTTCAGTTTCCAGTTTCTGCGATGCTGGCGCTTGGCACGGTCGTAGCTCTTCTTTATCAGTACCTACAGTGGAAACCCACAGATATTTACATGCACACACACCATAATATGCAACTCACGACACGCTTTAAAAAAAAACCAAAGCAACACCCAAGTCTAGATTTGGGCAACTGTAACATCAGAACAAACAGCAGACTCAGTCTTACAAACAAACTGCAGACAGTAACATATGACACCTGCACTTTTGGCAGTCTGGCACTAAAAAGTTTTAAATAGAATTCATACAGCATTTTTCAATTCAAACCAAAGTGTTTGGAAACTTTTATTTCCTGAAGAGGCATACCCTGGAGATGTAAGAGTTTTCACCACACAGGGTAATTTGAACAGCAATGAATAAGGTAGGTTAAGGTAAACATATTATTTAAACACCACACTAAAATAAAAGTAGCAAGAAACTAATTCTCACTGATTGGATTCCATTCAAATTTCAACATTAACATTTCCTTCCTTGAGCACCAGGCAACCAGTGTGCATCTGATATAAAGCCACTTGATTTTCCTGAGCAATGCAGAGAAATCTGTACAGACAAAGAAAATGATCTTACCACGTCAGGGACGTTGTGTGGGCTCATCTTATTCACAAACTCGTCATTCAAGTTACAGTTGGCCAAGTCAAATCTAAAATGAAAACAGGTAGTTCATACTTTTATTTAAGTACAGAAAAACGAAGTCAAGGTTTTATATGCTAGTATTAAAGAGCAAATGTAATGTCTGTATTAAAGATCATAGTCTCAGTTATAGCTACTCAGAAAAATGAATGTTTCCAAACTAAGGACAGAGAAAAGAAGAAATCCACAACAATATGCACTTGTCATAACTGAGGAACTCTTAGAGCAAACTGCTGTCCCCACATTCTGTTCAGTAGCACCACTACACTCACCAGCCTCATGAACCCACACACATCCCTGAGGTTCTGCTGCCTTCAAAATATTCATGTTTATTCCCATTTACTTGAGAATCACTAACCAAGCCCCATCCTAAAAACATTCACATTTGTCATTGCTGTATGCAATACTCACATTTAATCAAAAAGGTCATATGCCTTCACTTTACTTTGATCTTGGCTAGTGTTTTCAAAATCTCATCTGTGTCTGCACTGTTATTCTCATCTCACTTTAGAAGTCAACTAGCAGCTAGTTTTATGGCATGAGTTCTGCTAGAAGTTTTACTGTATTATAACCCTCTATCTCTTCATAGCCAAGATGAAAGATTCTATCCCTTCTGCAGATCTCATTTAGGAAATTCACAACTATCTTGATAATACACAGGCATGTACAGAATCCAAGTCAGCAGTATGAACTGAAATAATCATTCCAGCTCCCTAGCAAATTAAGAATAGAATTAAGTCATCAGATACCAGTATTTTCTTTCGTGTTTGCTCCTGAGAGACTCAAAACTTCCTTTCCACAGCCACACATAGAAACCTTTCAAGCTTCCAGTGCAAGGCCAACACCAAAATTCCTGCTGCAAGGCTCAAACACAAACTCCTATGGAATGGCTCATTTAAATCAAAACCAAGAAACAGAACAGACCCTAAGACAAGGTCACCAGGATTTAGAATGTGTCCCAAGTGAGTGCAGCAGAAATACTGATGGTCTGTACTCAGCTCCGAGGTTTTCTTTACCCAGGCTTCAGCCAGCGTGTGCTTGAGGAATGAAAAATAAACAAGCTTGTAATAAACTCAGCTTAACCTTCCGTGCTGTTAAAACATTTGCACTGCTACATTAGTGTGTTGAACTACAGCTGCAATTAAGCTTTCTATAACAGAAATCCAACATACTGCTTGCTACCATTATTTTCTCATCTTTACAAAACTAAGGAAATAAACAGGGCAATCACTTGTTTACTTCGTAACTTTCTATTACTTTTACCCTTTGAATGAGGAAAAGCAGTTGACTCTTGTTCACTAATTCTGATTAAAAAAGTTTCTATGCTTCAGAAAAAAGAACAGTAATTGAAGAGTTGCAAAGCTAGTATAAAATAATGATTTCTGTGGTGGCACTAACAAGTAGGGTTTAAACTCAAAAGAAAATAACTTAAAAGTGGAACTCACATCTCCATAATCTCCCAAACAAAACAACATCCACAGGAACTCTTACTTTATTTGATCTTGCCCCTGCACCTGCAGGTTTCTTCTTTTCTTGAACTCGATTGATGTCCATAACAATAAATTCCTCAAGCTGCTTTGGGTTGAACAAGCTATTGAAAGGATGGCGCCAGTAGGTATTTCCATCAATTTCAGCAACTGGAAAAACCAAGAACCAGCAAAGACAACCACAAGGGAGAAAGTTTCTTTCAGATAATTAAAACGAAGCATTAACCAAAACACAGGCAACTACAATGCATTCTGTTCAAGACTGTTATGAGAACAAACTATTTGGGACACAATATATATGGTAAACTCTGGCTGTGACAGCAGCTGATGATCTGTGACAGACGAGTCACATCTCAAGTGTCTGAAGCACAGTCTTTTATGCACACAAATCATTTCCTGGGATGTAGCCTTATCAGAGGTATTTTGCATCACATACACATCAATAAATACAGAGAGGTCTTCTCATTTGAGAGGCACGTCCCTGACAAATCTAAGTGCTTGGCAGAGCCCTACACCATCCACAAACCTAGTACTAACCTTGCAGATTTTCCTAGGACACAAAGGAAATTAGGTTTAGAGAAGAGTTTGGTCTTTGTTTGCTATTCAATTTCTGTCACGAGTGCACAAATACTTTTATAACTTATATAAGATATATACTTATATAAGATATACAAGATATATACTTATATAAGGTGCAAAAATACAAGATTTTATGTAAATAATTTTGCCAGCAGATTTTCAACACCTTGCCATATTGCAGAAAAAAATCACAACTTACTCTGCAGAGTGCTAGGATCAATGAGGTGGACAGTACTTGTAACTCTAATGCACACACAGATCTGGCTCATGTTACCAAGACTCTGTGCCAGTTTTGGTGACAGACATACAACATTGTCCTGCATGCAAAGAGAACATCTTTTAAAGTTCACATTTCTTTAATTTTTAATCAAGCCTTTAAAGAAATCAGAAACATGGATTTTCAAATTTGAGATTTTCAGATCCCCACCCAACATCCTCCAATAACTTGATAATAAATGCTAGCTAAGTTCCAAGCTCACTTGGGGACTAAACCCTCCTGTCCCCCAAACATAAAATAAATAATGTCTCTGTCAGCAAAACCAAACTCCTGCCACTTCATACAGTACCCTGGAGATGAAACAGAAATAAACTACCTTGCATACTGGAACAATTTCCACGGAGAAAGTGCTTTTGTAGTTGTAGACATTACTATGAACATCATGTGAGGTCAAGCGCTGGGATGATTTCGACCTAAAGAACATAAAAATAGAGCTTCAAGCAGCAAGAAAGACTCTGTTTGGGAGAGAAGATAACCAGCACTAAGAGCTGGACATAGCTACAAACAGCAAATTCATTAAGGAATTACAAAAATTCATGAAGGGTAGTTTCACAATCCCCAAACAGAAAACATGAGACCTCTGCACAAGGGGCTTTGTCTATTGAATAGAACACAGAGTTCTCACATAATCTGTTTAAAAAGAGGGATAACAGCTACTTCCCAAAAGCTTTTGGGGAGGGCAATAGATGTCAATGACGCACCTAGATGGAACTGTACACTGAAGAAAGTCTACCATCTTCTGAGCGTGTTGCTTCGAAGAATAATAAAAATCCAGGCCATCTGAAAGAAAAAAAAAAGCCTGATGAACATATCTATGCAATGCATTTGAAAAGAACACTCTTCTGGTTACCCACACACAGCTATTAATGCAACATAATCCAGGTTTGTCTATTTTATCTCCAGCTTAACAAGCCACCTCACTTACCATGGATTTCCTTGATGCGAAGTGTATTTTGATGAAGCCTGTGTTTTAAAATCAGCTGCTCCAAATAGTAGAAAGTCTTTTTGTGCAGAGTCTATAACAAAGCCAAAATAAATCCATCAGAGTCATTTAAGAATCACCTGGAGCAAATGCAGAATTGCTGGAGAATAAATGTTTATATGAAGAGATCATCTACAGAAGGAAGAGTCCAAAGTCTATCCCAACCAAAAACACTTCAGAGATGTGCTCTATTTATACCAAATTATTTAAGCCTTCTGTTTCTTTTTTTTTGCACAGCCTGTTGCTACAGATATCTTTTTTCTTTAAAGAAGATTTAAATATTTATAAACAATCTGCTCCACTGTTTCCAGCAGTGCCTTAAAATACAGAAGGAAGGATATATAAAAATTCACGTAAGATCCATCTGCGAGCCATCACTTATAAAAGGGCATATTAATAATACTGGACAACAGAAAAAAAGATTTCCAAACTAAAACCAGAAGGAAAAATGGCGAAACTTATTACTGTGGCAGTAGCCAAATGCAAGCAAACCCTTTCCTGAGAAAATCAGAAAGTCACTCAAAGGTTTCTCTGCATTATTGCACTGCCATCATAAAGTAAAAACACAGTTTGCCTCTACCTTCTGCCTGACCTGAACCACAGCTTTCCAGAAATCCTTAGCTTCAATCCTATGACAGTCTTCACACATCTGCGACTGAATCAGATATTCCACCACAAACACTTGCTGAAGAACTGCTCCATTTATCACCTGCAAAACAGAAGTTTTGACAGTTTTATGGGGACAGCTGATAACATTCTTCAAGTTTTGCCATCTGGGTTCTGATCATCACAATTGAAGTTTAAGTAAATCAACATTTTGTCAAAAGAAGCCATTAAAAACATGCTGTATTTTATTGGAGAGAACCACTTATCTAAACAGCAGGAAAAAACCAAACCAATAACAAGAATACTGTTTGCCACAAAAGCTTTAAAAAAAAACCTGCACACAGATTGCTACACTTCTGTTACCTCCTTCTGAACAGTCAGTTTCAGCTTCAATCTCTTAGAATGTGGTTCAGTCCAAATAAAGCCTGCGTCGATCAGCCGGACCTGCCAGTGGGAACAAACAAAGGCTCAGCCTTAAGCATGAGCAGCTCTAGCTAACAGAAAACACAAGCTTATGGTTTAGCTCATTGCTCTTCCAATGCACTGTATGAGATCAGACTGCTATTATCTGTGCTCACTACAGATACTCACTCGCTTAATAACCCCTATACCAACACGAATGGCTACTCTGGAAGAATGAAACCCAGCACGAGTTAGCCAGATTTTACTTTATGTCGTGCTAACAGACACATTGTGAAAGACTAATAAATTCATTACCCACCTTGCTAAGTGAAGCTTTAATTTTTTTAAGACACAAAGCAAGAAGCTCTCTTGATTCTAAGGCACACTGAATCCAAGTTCCTGGAGGCTGAAGATACCTGTAATAAAAAAAGCACACTGAGGCATATGATGTGGCTTCAACAAACCACGTCATTCAAAAGATAAGAAACTACTTCCCAAACTTTCAATGTGAACACCAGGCATGCAGCTCCAACTTCAGCCTCCCTGATAGAACAAGATTTAAGCATTCACATTTTTTTTTTGCAACCCTCACCAATTTGCTGTCTTTTTTCTTTCAGAGACCACAATGTCATTCATTTCAAACTTCCTGGCCATAAATAACACCTTCTTCTTCCATAAAAGAAACAGATGAATGCAGTGGGTAAAAAGAGCAACCAACACACCTACAGTATGCTGTCACTGGCTCAACAGCTGTCTGTGTACTATTTCACTTCAATAACATCCCAAAGATTTCCACAAGGATGATTTCCACATCCACACTGACCCCTCAGCTGTAAAACCATCTCCAAATAACTGACAGATTTGAGTGTGTGGCAGTTCCAAAGCTGGTGTGATGCTGGCACCTGCAGTCTGCCTGCAGTATGGCAGGGTGATAAATTCTTCAACTTACACAGCAAAAAGTCACAGAATTGCAGGGATTGGAAGGGACCTCGAGAAACAACCAAGCCCAACCTCACTGTTCAAGCAGGTTCCTTACAGCAGGTTGCACAGACAGGCATCCAGATGATCTTAAATAGCTCCACAGAAAGAGACTGCACCACCCCTCTGGGCAGTCTGTTCCAGTGCTCCATCACCCTTAATGAAAAGCAGCTCTTTCACATGTCTAAATGGAATTATCTTCAACTTTTAGGCTGCTACTCCCTGTCCTATCGCTATGCAGCCCCAAGAAGAGCCTGTCCTTATCTGCTTTGCCTCCCACCTCCCTCCAGATATTTATAAACATGAATTGGATCCCCCTCGGTCTTCTTTTCCCCAGGCTGGACAGCCCTAGGTTACTCAGCCTTTCTTCATACAGGAGATGCTCCAGGCCCTGTACCATCTTTGGGGTCCTCTGCTAGACTCCTTCTGGGAGACCCCTATCCTCTTCGAACCAGGGAGCCCAGAACTGGGCACAATACAATAAATGTGGCCTCACCAGGGCAGAATAGGGGGGGAGGATCACCTCCCTTGACCTGCAGACTGTGCTCTATAGTGTTCAATCCCAAAAAGAAACCGATGGGGGGTAGAACACTGGATGTAACAATCCAAACTGATTGGGGGGAGGGAAAGGGGGGAGAATA